GTGGGGCTGGAGGTCTGCCCCGGTAGCCCCAAAAGCTGGGGGGCTGTTTTGGGGGGGGGTCTGTGCACCACATGGGGACTTTGCCCTTGCAGATATCCCCGAGGAGGAGGCCAGGTATTGGGCCAAGAAGCTGGAGCAGCTCAATGCCATGCGGGACCAGGACGATGTAAGTCAGTGCAGAGTCAGGCCCCGGGTGAGGGCTGGGCGGGGAGCAGCAGTGCTGCGAACAGGCAGCCCTCACCGGCCTGTCTCTCCCCAGTATGCCTTCCAGGAGGAGCAGGAAAAGCCTCTGCCCGTTCACAGCTCCCAGTGCTGTAAGTGCTGCCCTGTTGCTGCCCCGCTGCGGGACCCCCCCACTGCCCCATCCTCCCAGCTCCCCACACCGGGGATGTGCAGAAGCAGGGTCTGTGCCTGCCTTGGGGCGCTGGACCCCAACCCAAGTGGGGCTCAGCTTCACCCCACACCCTGTCCCCGTCCCTGTTCTCATCCTCCCTCCCGTGTCTGCTGGTGTTTCTTTGCTCTCTCCCTGCCCCACAGTGTGTGAGCCCTCCCGTGGGGCTGAGCCGTACGGGAGAGGGGCGTGGGGGGGCATGGCAATGGGGCTGCTAAGGACGGTTCCCCGGGGAGCCTGGGCGAGGGGCAGTGAGGCTGGTGAGGGGGCTGCTCAGTGGGGCACTGGCAGAGGGGTCTGGGGGATTTGGGGTGGCAGCTCGGTTTGTCCCAACCTGTGCCTCAGTTTCCCCTTCTGTAATCACGCCAGGGCCATGCACAGCCCGGTACTGTCCCAAGCACAGTTCAGCGCCTCTGCCCAGCCCCAGGCCTTGGCCCCTGTGCAGTTCAATGCCACTGTGCCTAGCCATAGCGCTGTCCCCAACCTGGGTCTGTGTCACCGTGCCCATCCCTAGGCTCCATCCCCATCCTGTCTTGGTACTGCATTGCCCAGCCCCAGCCCCTGTCCCGAGCACGGCTCAGTGCCAATGTGCCCCATCCTAGGCGCTGTCCCCAATCCATCTCGGGGCACTGTCCCAAGTCCAGCTTGGTGCCACCGTGCCTGGGAGGTGCTGGTTCCTCCCAGCCAGCTCCTGCTGCTGCCCTGGAGCTGCCTCCATCCTTATTGTCTCTGCCCCTTTTTTTTGTAGGCAACTGGAATTATTTTGGCTGGGGAGAACAGCAGAGTAAGTATCCTGTCCCCTCCTCTCCTCCCAGCCTGGCGGCCCGCAGCACATCCCCCTTTGCCGTGCCATAGCCTGGCCCGGGGCTCAGGAGACCTGGAGCTCTGGTCCAGCCTGTGGCTCACGCTATGGCTCTGTGCTGGGTGAGGACGGAGGCACTGAGCACTCTGTCCTGGGCAGGGCTGTCCCCACAGGCTGGCGGGGACATGGCACCGTGAGGCTCTGTGCCCTCGGGGTGCCCTGGTGGCAATGAGCAGCTCAGGCTTTGCCTCTGTGGCGAGACATCGGTGGGGCAGAAGGAGGGTCCCTGCACCCTGTCCTCCTCTTCCCCCTTCTGTATATCCCATTTCCCGCCTCTGCCCTCCCCTTGTCCCCCAAAACTCCTTTCTGCAGAGGGGAATATGTGCAGCTTGCCCCTCACCCCTTCCTGGGTCCGTCTCCCCAGCACGGTCCCACAGCAGTGGGGACACAGTGGTGGCAGTAGCGAGGCTGTGCCAGGGGTGGGGCAGATTTGGGGCATCCCTGGCCACAACAGCCGCGGGGCCGTCCCCTGTCCCACTCACTGCCGCCCCTTGCAGACGATGACCCTGACAGCACGGTGGATGACCGGGACAGCGATTATCGCAGTGAGACCAGCAACAGCATCCCACCGCCGTACTACACCACCTCCCAGCCCAACGCCTCCGTCCACCAGTACCCCATGAGGAACCAGCAGCAGAGCTCCCGTGACTCCTATACCGACTCCATGCAGAGCTACGAGATGGACTACTCAGACCAGCGTCCCATCAGGTAGCGTCGGCACAGCCAGCTCCCCGCCAGGACCTGCTCTCTCAGTCCCCCCCCACAGGTGCCAGAGGCCAGCAGGTCCCCGGGGTGACGCCAGGGATGGCGCTCCCAGGGTGGTGGGCGACAGAGGGAAGGATGCTGAGGCGAGGAAGAGGGGGATGGTGCTGGCCCCAAGCCTTTCCTTCTCACTGGAAAGTTTTCAAGCTCTTTTGGGTCACCGCCCTCCTCTGTCCTCGCTGGGCTTTGGGATCCCCAAGCCCTGGCTTTCCTTGCTGGGAGCTGAGCTAGTGGGGTGTGGCCTGGCTGGGGATGCAGACATGGCTGTAGGCAGAGCTGCAGGCAGGGACGCCTGCCCAGCGCTTTGTCCCCGCGGTCGCAGCATGGCCCAGTTCCTCGCCAGCATCCAGCCCAAGGTGCCAGCCCCGTCCACCAGGACAGAGCCTCCCTGCCGGCATCCCCACGGCAGCAGGGGATGCCGGGGTGCGGCGGGTGGCGGCAGCGCGGCGCCCGGAACCTCGCTGATCATCTTCCTCTCCTCCCCGGCAGACGCTATGGTAGCATAGACTCTGCCGCAAACGGACGCAGCGACGCTGAGTCCGCTTCCGAGTCGAGCAGGCGGACCAGCCGCCAGCCTTCCCTTGAGAGCAGGCGGTCCCTAGACCTATCGGATAGGTGGGTCGCTACCTCGTCGCGTGCCGTGTGCCGTCGCAGAGTGCTGTGGTCGGTCCTTGCAGCCGTGGTGAGGCCAACACCAGTCCCGGCAAGGGCGGCCTCGTGCTGCCGCGGGGTCCCCCTCTCCCTGCCCTGGACCGCCTTGCAGAGGAGCAGTGTTGGGATGCTCCAGGTGTCTCTTGGCCCTGTGGTGTCCCTTCTTGCTGCTGCGCCCCAGTTCATGGGGGCGATGCCCCAGCATCCTAGTCCCGCTCACCAGCACAGCAACTGGCTGGCAGCGCTGCTGCCTGTTCCCCGTCATGCCAGCGGGTGTGGGAGCTGGGGCCTTGGGGACTCAATTGTCACCCTCTGTTTCTGGTCATGGCCCAGGGAGCACCTGGCTGGGCAAAAGCCTCGCGCAGTGATTTGGGACCCTCACCATGTGCCAAGGGCCCCTCTCCCAGCTCTGGCCAGGATCAGGCCAGGGAGGTGAGGGGTTTCCAGTCATGAGCTGCGTCTCCCGCACCCCTGTGCCCCAAGTCTCCCTTCCCGAGGTACCTGGATGATGCCAGTACCCCTCCCTGCTGGGACCAGCCTGGGCATCCCCCAGCACCCTCCTCCCTGTGGTGTCCCCCGGCTCCCCATTGCCTGGCCCAGCCACTCTGGGCCCAGGGCTCTGCCCATCCCGTCCCCTTGTCCCCTTCCCCCTTGGCCACCCCTGAGCCCTGGCTGCCGGTGCTGGAGATGTGGTGTCGGCCTCTTCCTAGGCATGTCCCTGTCCTGTCTGCATGTTTGCTTATGTGAGCCTCTCCCCACGGAGCCCCACGGCCGCCCCGTCCCCGGCAGCCTCCTGGGACGCAGGGAGCCCCTCTGCACCGCTGCTACCCCCGGTGCAGGCGGCTGGGGGGGGGGGGGTGTG